GTAATTTGTTTTAATAGTAACTTATTTTTTTTAGAAATTATCCTAATACAGTCTCGGGTATTCTTGGGGCTTTAAGTTTCATCAAAAAATAAGTTTATTTGATGATTTTTTATTTAAAATAAATAATTTCAAATATTGCGTTTTAAATTGATCACTGGATCAATAGTTGTTGAATCCCAAATCTCGTTCATGGAAATCGTGACGATAACCCAGGTGTATAACGAATATGAGAAAAAAAAAAATTAATTTTCAGCTGTAAAAAAACGCCTTGAGTCGACTGGATTCTCGGTGTATCGAATTTGAAGGCAACGGCAACTCTCCAAAAACAAATTACGAAAAGAAAAGAGATCCTGGCAGTACAGTGAGGGAACTGTCATACGACACCGAATCTCTATTAATTACTGATTACACTGTAACTTTTGTATTTTTGTGGAAATCAATAAATATTTAAGTTATTGCAAAAGTAAACTTACGACTAATTCAATGGCACATAGAGACTTTTTAAACTTTAGTACAAGACCATATCTACTTTATATAAGTAAAATACAAGCTTTAAATTTTCCTTTTGTTGAAATTTAATTATACGTTTTCATGAATAGCGATTTCCTAGGATCAAAAAATGTACTTCACCAAAATTAAATTACTCAAAAAAAGTATATTTTCCTGTATCGTTTTCTAGAAAATTTATAAAATAAATCAACAGAAGAATTGGAGCCAATGAGCACAGCTGGAGTAGAACAATTGTTTTAGGATAGTGAAGCAAGACCTAATATCTCAAAAGATAAAAAGCTTTAATGTAATGAAGCATACTGCTGTCAATTCAGAAATCTAAGCAATTGAACCAGTTCATTGGCACATTATATTAATCCTAGAAATATATATTTACACGGAATTTAATCACTTCATTTGTCCACATATTTTATTTTCCTACTTTTCGTCATCACTCAAAAGTTGGTCTAATTTTTCATACCTTTTATCTTCTATTTGCTCTTTGAACTCCTTAATAAGATTTACTTTTATCTTCCAATTCTTTTTGAGCTGATACATCTACGTTAGGATACACTTCTCCAATTTTGTACACACAACTTTTTTGATTTTCCAACTGCTCCAGTCTTTGGAGTTTTTGTTCATGAGTTTTGTAAGGGCCTCCTTCACTTTCCTCTGGATACTCATCATAACAAAGAGCATCCTCTTGATAAGACTCTGGAGGTAGTTTTTCTTCTTTATTTGAACTCTGGTCTATAATTGTTTTGGATGACATTGTCCTGTAATTTCATGAACGAATTTTATTTTTCTTCATTGACTCGTTCCCACTTTTTACCTGAATAACCTAGGAGAGTTTTCATTGATACATATGTATTTTTTTTTAAATCAATGCTTCGTTTTAGGTTATAAATTTATTATTGACGTGTTAAATACCAGGAACTATTTATTTATTTGAAAATTTTAAGGATTAAACATAAGTACCTCCTTGAAAATTCTTATTACTTAGTTTTCACTACTACATACAGCATAATCTATACGTTTCTTCGTGTACTTAACTATTATATTTTTACCGAAAGATTTACCTGCCTAAAGTTTTTGTAGATAGAAATGAATGGATGATTTGTAATGTTGAAAAAGCTTTAAACAATCAATTTTTTTCCTAATTTTTCTCAATTTTGATCTATAGTACTGAAGTATTGGTAATCGACTTTTCGATTTCTTGATCTTTAAAATAATATAGCTTGCGCTTGCGTCACTTGCTGTCATTCAGTCATTGAGTCATTCGTCATTGATAAAGTAGATGTTATACCTATAGGTTTTTTTTTTTTTTTTTTTTTATATTATAGTGTGTTCACCTCTCGTGAGGTATTTACACACTTATACCCATAGGTATCTGCAAGTAGTGATCTGAATATTCTGAATGTAAATAGCAAATCCACGTATGTAGGCCAGTCAAATTACTCCTGAATTAGAAATCTCGTTCCACGAAGATATGTTGTAAGTACATAAATAATATTTAAGTTCTCGAATACTAAAAAAAAAGAATTGTAAGTTTCATTTCACGTTTATCTCGTAAATGGTGAAAGGTAATTTGTAAACTTGTCGCAAACAGCATAAATTATATCAACTTTTTATTGTCTATCTGTAAGATTAGTTGCGGCTGGTTTATGATTGATTAAAAAACTCTACTGTGAGTTGTAATAATTATTTGGATCAGCGCCATCTAGCGGTCTTTATTTTTTGGCCAAAAGTGGCTCCTAAAATTCTGAATCAGAGCAATCAAGCTGAGAGCTATTTATTAAATTATAAACCAGCCGCAACTTTTAATGAAGCTATAAAATAAAAAAATAACGATATATGTGTTTTTGGCGGCAAGTTGTCTATCTATTTTCTACCAAAAAATCGACCTTCTATGTATTTATACTTTTGAAGATAAATTTTTGAGCATAAGATAGATTGTTAACTTGCCGCCAAAAACACATGTATCGTTATTTTTTTATTTTATAGCTTCATCATAAGTTACGGATGGTTTATAATTGATTAAATAGCTCTAAGCCTGATTGCTCTGATTGAGAATTTTAGAGGCCACTTTTCGCTAAAAAATGAAGACCGCTAGATGGCGCTGATCCAAATAATTATTACTATCTTGCAGCAGAGCCTTTTAATCAATTATAAACCAGCCGCAACTTTATTTGAAGATATAAAATGAAAAGTTGACATCGTCTGTGAAATTTGCGGCAAGCTTACAATTTATTTTTTATATGATAATTGACCTCTAAAAGTGTAAATATTCTACTTGTCTTATATGACTTATAAAATTGTCGAATCTGTTTCTATGCGATTGGCAGACGACCAGACGAAAATAAAGTTAAGTGTCAGTGCTATCAGAAAAGCAATACCTATAGCAAGTGTTAACAATAGGAGAATGGAGCTTGCAGTGTCAAAGCTCGAGCCTGCAAGTCGTGGGCCGTGGCCAATGCGAATATTATAGGACTTCATTGTTGAGTGTGTATTAAACGTCGAGCAGAACAAACGATAACTGAAAAATTAAGAGAGAGAGTATAGAGCAGCATAGAGCAACATATGACGACAGCTCCGTGAACTCGGTGCCCTGGACCCCCCTGCAGGTATGAAAAAAAAACATCCAGCAATTATATGTATACGTTTATACTCATAATATCATTATCATAAGTACTAAGACTAGTAGGTTGTACTTTGGTGTTATATTACACATATTATGAGATATATTATACTCTCTTGCATGCACGTATACTTAGTAACTGAAATCGATTCACATAACTAAGTTTTTTTTTTTCCTCATCCCTCCAATTCTTCCAAAGCAGAGCTGCTCCGAAACTAACCCCCGCTATAAGCTCGTCCACACACTGTATGTATGCGTATATGTGTTTGTTGTTACCCCCTTAATATCATCATCACATCCAGCAAAGCAACAGCAAGTCAAATAGCGTATACTTACCTATATAGCTTTTTGATTCGCGAATCATGAAAAAAGAAAGAGAGGGAAGCTCTGCTCTCTTGAGGGAGCTTGCACTACTGCACATTTTTTGTTGTTGTAGCGTTGTTTAACCATTGCATAAACAGCAGTGGTCAATAAAAAATGTAGCTTTTACGTGTGGTTATATTTATTAATGACTTGTCGTAGTTTGTTTATTTCTCAAAGAGACGAGGATTTTGTGTGCGAAAACTCAGTGGGAAGCTCTCCTTTGTTTTGTTGTTAGTTGTAATTTCTGATAATATGAGAGAGGTACAAGTGTAATGATGATCGAAAAGACTGTGGCGATGATTGTTGTGGCTATTGTGTTATCATGAGAGACGATCAATAGTGATTTGGTGTAAACAAACGACGGCAGCGGCGTCTTTCTGGATGAAATCAGGTGATACGGTGTTTATGTTTACGTACAGCTCTAGATTAGGTTTATTCTTAATGATTTCGAATGATTTTTTTGTTTCTTTTATTAAAAAACAAGGAATACGTATTTTAAATGAGAATTAGGCTGGTTATAATTGAGCTTTGATTTATCTTAACTGTGCTTTTATAATTTATCATTTTTTATTCATTTAAACAAGTATTTTTTTCATTACTCTGTTTTTGAAAAATTGACGTTTTTTCATTGATTTCTTTCATTGTGCAGTAAAAATATTATATTTTTTAACTTCATGAGCTTTGTAACAGTTGAAGAAAACGTTACCACAGTATCATCCATACTTTTAGGGATGTTGTCTGCCTGTGTTGCAAATTTTTCAAGTATTTGTTACTAACTAGAACAAAAAATTATTATAACGACTTATTAAATGTTTCAGGGAACATAGAGCCATGTCTACACATGGAGAATGGGCTCAATTGCTTCGGTGCTGCAGTGGCATTGCTCGGAGTGCTCTCTGATAAATCCAACGGAGGCTCCCCAATGTGCGCGCTGTGGCCAGTCACGCCTGAAGAGCGATGAAAAAATTGCGCCAAATTATCTCCTCCTTCGCGATTCCCTGACCCAGTGCTCGGCCAACCCGAGGCCGACGATCGACGCCAACAGCAAGAGGAAACAAAAGAAGACAAGAAACAGTAAGTCCCGCTCGTCCTCGACCTCTTCATCGTCATCCGCGTCATCATCGTCCTCGGGATCCTCCAGTACTCCACCTACACCACCTCCAAGGTATCACAGTCGAGGTTCTACCAGTTGCAACAACTCCGCAACTGCCAGTGCCTCGGCAACCCTCGAACCACCAAAGAAAGTACCTTTCATTGTTAGCCTGCCATCCACCTCACCAGCTGTACAAAAGAACCAGTACGAGATCTTTCTTTTACTAAGGTATGTTCAGTTGTTTCCTTTAAATAACAGACTTTAGTATCGTACTAAAGTTTAGTGAAATAATAATCTCATCTCTTTGCAGTCACAAGCAAAACGATTTGGATCCCTGTAGTGTTGCAAAAAAGCGCAGAGGCTCCTGGTCGAATGCAAACGAAAGCAATGAGGCGCGTCTAACGAAAGCCTCGTCGTTGCCGTCGCTGGTGACCCAGTGGACATGCATTCGCTGCTTACAGGATAACCGGTGCCGTGCAGTACCCAATTGCACGGCTTGCGGCGCCAGCTCCTCGATAACCGAGACTCAGAGAGTTGGTGTGAGGAAGTGCCGGAGACTGAATACTAGGAGAAGCAACGTGCCTAAAGCTGCTACTGCTGCACGACTGGATCTAGTAACAAGGGTGACGACTGGTTCGGAGACCCGGGTCCAGGACACCAATGTTCATAATGTGATTTCACTAGTGGATAAAAGTAGTAAGCTAGAAGGTGAGAATGTTTATTCAGAAATAATTGTTTCAGAGTTTTTGCTGAAAGTAAACTTGATTTGTTTGTCAACCATTTATTAACGTTTGACGAAAAAAATAATATCTAAAGGATAATGTATCATTCAGGTGATGCAGTTTACTGTGACAGTATGCATGTATTTTTTTTTATTGATGTTTGAAGTCTGTAAAGAATCACCTTGACTTTATATACTAACAAGACTTAGGATTATCAGTTGTGTATGTGTATATAACCATCTGCTTTGGTACTCCAAGTGGAGTTAGAGAAAAAAGTAACTCAGTTATCAACATGTTGTTACAAAGCAAACGTTTTTGTGGGCTGTTTTATTTAATTTTCTCTTACTCTTGATATGTATACGGTATTAATGTTGGCGTTGCTATGTTTTGTTTTGTTGTTGTGTTTATACACAATATCGAAATATAAATTATATGCCACTAGGCTTTCTCTGCGAATTTTTACAAGTACCAATGGTAAACACATCGAAACCATTTTAATTAATTTAATTTGCATATTTTTCATGCCGTTTACAGAAATGGCTCAACTTACGAGTTTGAGTCGTAACGAGCGTACACGTGGTAGTGGCAGCAACAACCACGATGACTGGACGCTTCCATCGGTCGATGGCCTGCACTCTGGCACGTCTGCCAGCTACATCGAAAGTAGCATCGAAAATTCAAGGTACGGTAAAATTTTCATCAAATATCCGTGCAGTATGAAAACGAAATATAATAGTAATGACGGATGTTTTTCAGTCACTCGTCGTCACAGCGCTCGCCAAAACGCCACAGTCCATCGATGTACGAGCGCGTCAAGTCCAAAGTCAGTCGTTCGTTATCGAATGGCTCGGTCGTGCAAAAGATCGGCAGCTCGAACACCGATCCCGGAGCCGCGGCTCGTCCAACCAGTCTCATCGTCGCCGAGATGAGCCAGATGCCGGCGGAAGAGGGTCTCTGGAGCTGCGACAACTGCACTCTCGACAACGACCCTGGACTGGAGCAGTGCGAGGCTTGCGATGCGCCTCGGAGTCCCGCGCCCTGCAGCGGAGTCGTCATCAGTGTACCTGCCTGGGAGCCACGCGCCCTAGCGTCGGCGGGGCCGTTGTCCTACAGAAGATCTTTCTCGGACATCGACTCGGTGTCGAGTGCGAGCCAACGCAAAGCGGCGAATCGCCGGAGCCTGAATGACGATGAGCCCCCCGCGGTGCCACCACACTCGGCTGGCTTCAATAGCTCCCGGACCAAGTACTCGTACATCGGTATCACAGATCCGGATCCGGACGTGCCACCACCCCTGCCCAGAAAGCAGAGTTCTAGGTCTTCGGCTTCCGTGAGCCATCAACAGCATGTAAGAAGTGAGTCGACTCGTCCCACTACCAGGGACCACTCGTTTAGCCTGCTCAAGCGCATGTGGACCTGCCGCAAGTGTTCATACGCCTATAACCCGCCCTGGTCGTCAGGCTGTGATATCTGTAGCTCCTCGAGATCGCCCCCGTCGCTCGCCCAACCCAGTCTCATCACTTTAACTGATTCCCGTGAGTTCCCAAAGAAATACGTACAATTGCAATCGATGAACCATGCGAACATTTTTAATCAATCCTTTTTACTGTTAGCCAACAAAAACGGATCGAGCACTCGCAACCATCTACAATCGCCGATTGCGATTTCGCGTGACAGTGTGCGCTACATACCACGAGCGACATTGGCCACAGCCGAGTCCGATCTCGAGGATCAGGTGGATCCACCGACCCCGGGTTCAACTAGCTCGACCAGCTTGACGTCTACCACTGCCTTGTGGACCTGCAAAAAGTGCACTTTAGTTAATCCGTTGTCGCGCTCGACGTGCGAAGCTTGCGGTGGCTCGAAACTTCGCAGCGTCAGCTGCCATCTCGAAGACCCAACGCTGCGCAAAGGCGAGTCCTGGGTCTGTCCGTCGTGCACACTGCGTAATCCTCTTTCCGCGCCAGTGTGTAATGCCTGCAAAAACTCGTCGGATCTTCTCGAACTGCCCAGGGACAGTAGAATCACGCCGAATCATCATCAACAGGTCTGTCGTAACTCGATGCCCTACACTTTTTCTTTCTTGTTACCATGATCAATGTTAGTGAGCCGTTACGTTGTTTGATTTAAGGTTGGCCAGAGGAGTCCCAGTCCTAGATTAGCTAGTGCAGTTACTGCGCCAGTTGCCAGCCCCATGCAGAAGATCGTGACTCCCAGACATAGGAATTCCGTGAGAAAAAACGGGTCGGCTGGTTCGGCAACCGGCGCATCGAGTGCGGTTAGCATAACTGAAAAAAAGCATTCAAAGAACAAAGATTCCAACAACGCGCAGGTGGTTAGTATAACTATAACGCACAAAATATATTTTTTCTATGTTTACTTGACGTATGGGTACATGATTGCAAAATTCACGTTACAGTGGCAATGTAAATTGTGCACGTACGAAAACAAGAGCTCAAGCGTTAACTGCGAGATGTGCCAAAGTTCCAAGAGTTTATCGCAGATGGTGGGTGACAGGCCCAGGCTCCATCACGAGCCAATTACCAGCACACTCAGGATACAGCGTCAGGAGAGTGTGGTCATGGAAAACCTGCGGCAAATCGAGGAACGAGAGGCTCTCGAGAAGTGGGAGAGAATAGTTCGATACTGCAAAGAGACGAACGAACCGTTCGTCGATGACTCGTTTCCACCGGCGCCAAAGTCACTCTACTACAATCCAGCAGAGACAAAGGACAATCACGTAGTGCAGTGGAAGCGGCCGCATCAGATAAATGTCGACTCGAGCATCGACGCCGATCTACCGTGGGCTGTGTTCCGAACACCCCTGCCCTCTGACATATCGCAGGGCGTCCTTGGCAACTGCTGGCTGTTATCAGCCCTGGCTGTGCTCGCCGAGAGCGACGAGCTCGTAAGACGCGTACTCGTGATGCGCGAGACATGTCCCGAGGGTGCTTATCAAGTCAGGCTGTGTAAAGACGGCAAGTGGACTACCGTACTGGTGGATGATTTGCTGCCGTGCGACAAGCGTGGTCATTTAGTGTACTCACAGGCAAAGAGAAAACAACTGTGGGTGCCGCTCATCGAAAAAGCCGTGGCCAAAATCCACGGCTGCTACGAAGCACTGGTCTCGGGTAGGGCGATCGAGGGTCTGGCTACGTTAACCGGAGCTCCGTGCGAGAGTGTGCCTTTGCAGCCGTCAGCGCTGCCTAGCGAGGATGAGCTCGACAAAGATCTGATCTGGGCGCAGCTATTGTCGTCGAGGCAGGCTATGTTTTTAATGGGTGCAAGCTGTGGCGGTGGTAACATGAAGGTCGACGAGGAGGAATATCAGAGGAAGGGCCTCAGACCTAGGTGAGTCATTACATCAGGTACTTACTCAAAAGTTGTATCAAACACCATACGCCATACTTTTTTTGGGGGTTTGCAGACACGCATACTCGGTGCTGGACGTGCGCGATGTGCAAGGTATCAGACTTCTCAGACTGCGCAATCCTTGGGGTCATTATAGTTGGAAGGGCGACTGGTCGGACGACAGTTCCATCTGGACGATTCAGATGCGTGAGATGTTGATGCCACAGGGTGCCTCGGACGGTGTCTTTTGGATATCATTTGACGACGTGCTCAAGTACTTTGATTGCATCGACATTTGCAAAACACGGGTAGGCTGGAGCGAAGTTAGACTGAGAGGTACACTGCCGCCGTTGTCATCCCTCAGACATCTGTCCTGCGTTCTTTTGACCGTTCTTGAGCCTACCGAGACTGAGTTTACGTTGTTTCAAGAGGGACAAAGGTATTTCTTGTTTTAATTCATGTCACGATTACATGTATTAAATATTCGTAAAGTAATAAAAAATCACGTTCTCTTTTCCACAGAAATTCCGAAAAGTCGCAACGTTCACAGTTAGATCTCTGCGTAGTCGTATTCAGGACTCGTTCACCAGCTGCACCAGAAGTCGGTAGACTGGTGGAGCACAGCAAGCGCCAGGTACGCGGCTTCGTTGGCTGCCACAAGATGCTAGAGCGTGACCTCTACATTGTAGTCTGCCTGGCCTTCAATCATTGGCACACGGGTATGGAGGATACCTCGAGTTACCCAGAATACGTGCTCGCGATACATAGCTCGAAACGATTGCTCGTAGAGCAGATATCGCCACCAGCTTTCGTGCTTGCTGATGCAATCATTAGTCTTACCCTCGCAAAGGGCCAGAGGCATGAGGTAGGTGTATTAATATTGCAAATACATGGTTTACACTTTTTTTAGGAGATTAATTTTCATTAGATGATAATGTTCAATTGTTACAGGGTAGAGAAGGCATGACTGCTTATTATTTAACCAAAGGTTGGGCAGGTTTAGTCGTAATGGTTGAGAATCGCCACGTCAACAAGTGGATTCACGTAAAGTGCGACTGCCATGAAAGCTATAATGTTGTGTCTACGCGAGGACAACTTCGAACTGCTGACAGCGTCCCTCCTCTTCATAGGTAATTAAATAATTTGTTTTCAAACCTTACTTGAACGGCAAAACAATTTTTTTTTTTTTTATGTTTCAGACAAGTGATAATAGTGTTAACTCAACTCGAGGGTAGTGGCGGCTTTTCGATAGCTCACCGACTGACCCATCGGTTGGCTAACAGTGGACACCTGCACGACTGGGGTCCACCTGACACCGAGCATTGTCCTCCCATTGACACGCAAGTCGAGGGTCTTCACAGCCCACGTCTCATAACTTGAGGGCCTATTCGTTCGACGTTGTTGTTGTTGTCTGCACAACATTTCCCTCTCTTTGCTGAATCTCTCGAGGTGGGAGCTATTATGATACCAAAGTTTTTATTTTCAACGAACGCACTTGCCAAAGGTCATTCCCGTTCCCATGTGTGCTATTCTCGCGTTGTGTAGTAGGTGTTTCGTATTAGTTATCCAGCGCGGGAAGTACAACTGCGTGATTGTATTTTTTCTTCTCCTTTGAGGTAGGGAAAACAAATAAATACTTTGAGTATTTTCTTTTTTATAAAAAGCTAATCTTTCACTTTGTCTCTCTAACGAATGGACAAAACATGTCCGTTCTTCTCTTTTCTGCGTTGCACTTGTATATAAGCACAAGGTCGGTTGCAGTAGCAAATTTTTCGAGGACGTAACAATATTGCAAAACATACAGACATTCATAGTGAGCGAGGTTGTACGATGGAATTTTCGCGCAAACTAGGCTCTTACGTTTAATGTATACAATAAAAAAAAAAAAAAAAAATTATTTTCTCAACGTAACGTGTAATTGTTGCAAGTATAAGGAGGGTAAAAATAATCGAAAATAAAACAACTCCCAGAAAATGAAACTATTCTTCTTCTCCTCTTGTTTGGTAAAACTGTGAATTATGGGCAAAGTATAGTGAAAAAAAATTATGGTAAGTGTACGTGTTGAAAATGAGGTGTGAACTAGAAGTAAAATACGTTTTAGTACAGTTGTAATCTATTTAAAGTAGTTGGATAAACAAAGAAAGGCTTTATCTTCAAAATAAATTTTATAATCCAAACATTTCAAAGAGAAAAAGAGTTAAACCGTACATATTAATGTGCAAACTTTCAAGTTCTTGTGATTTTTAAACAAGTAAATATTTAAATAGATGTTTAGTCTTGAAATGAAGTGACTGGTTGATATATTTTGCAAAAAAGTAATAACTCTGAAATACAAAAAAACATATGCTAAAAATGGAACTAAGTTGTAGTCAAATCAAACGTTACTTCTTCACAATAAAGAGTAAAAAAAGTTGGTCTTGAACATTTTCACTGCCAAAATATATCCAAATGAACAATACTTATTGAATTAATAATTCCGAGTTGAGTGGACTATATTCAGTTTAAAAAGAATTATGTACAAATATTTTGGATCTTAAAAAAAATATAATATCTAGTCAAATATAGTTGGAAAACACACTCCAATAAAGTATGTTGTTAAATAACTTTTGAATCTCATTGCAAAAACTTGAGCCACTTGTAGAATGAATATATTTGAATGTTTGAGAAAACAAATATAATTTTACAAAGCCCTTGATAAACAAAATTATGGCCCAAAAACTTCCTAAAATTAACCTTTTTGTGCCTGTCCAAAAGAAACTTTCATCATGAGTATTTTTTTCCGGTTATAATTTCTGTTGATATTTTGATATTAAATGCACAAACACTTTGAATATGATATTGCCAAGTTTAATTAATTTTTTTACACATGATTTCTTAAATTTATTTTTTAGCTGCCGTAGATTATTAAGTTTAGTAATTAAGTGTTGAAGATAATTTTTACTATATTGAAATAAAGACATATTTTCAATTGCATTTGAAACTCACTACAACTATGTGGATATACAGTGAATGTATTTGATGTTGTATAAAAAATTTGTAACATTTAAAAATTGAAAATTTTAATTGCATTTTGTATACATGTGTGCAGGGATTTATTTGAAATAATAAGTAAAAATTAACTTTTCAATCAAACAGCATTATCAGAAATTTTTTATAGTGTGTGGAAAATAGGTGTTTTCCGCACTATTTTTAGTGTAGAAAGTCAATTTTCCCGCATAATGTAAGGCTAAAGTTTTACCGCACACTGGAATAAGATTTTGCTACACACAACACACCAGTTTTCAAAATTTATACCTATTTTACACTTATTTTCCTCACACTAATTGCGAAAAATCTTGTACGCAACTCGTGCGGGAAATCGTCTTTTCCGCACTTGTTACGTACATTACTATTTTACGTTTTATTGAACACTATGTTTTTATGGTTATATTAATTTTTATTGGTAGGTATTTCAATGCGTGCAATCAGTATTTTAAGAACACTATGAAAAATAATGATAAATAAATAAATAAAAATTAATGATCTGTATGAAAAATGTTATTTTTATTGTTCTTCACAATACCCAATTATGAAATGTCACTGCTATAGATTTATTGCTATTTTTAATACCTTATCGATGTGCATTATGCTGTTAAATATAAATTTAATTGTCTTTTTTCCAAGCAATCAATTTTCATACTCACAACTGTATTCCAAATACATTTGGTGCTTTCGTTCTAGCGATAAACGCCTACGATTTTTCATAAACTTTGGCACGTATTCTATAAGACGAGAATTGATTTAAGATGTTTTTTTATAGTTTTCAAAACATCGAGTCCCTTATTTTCGTTGTTTTTTTTTCAACTCTCCATACTTAACATTAATTTAGCTCACAACGCAAGTTGAGTCAAACCGCGAATTTCACCACGCACATTATTATTAGAAAAAATGTTGTTTGACCAATATCTTTCGTGACTAATCACTGTCGAATTCATTTATCATCCGTTATATGTCGAAAAAGTTTATTTATTATTAATTTTTTTTTTTTTCAAGTACATTTCTCTTGTCTCCTGTACTTTGAGACCTTTGACCGACACCCTGAATCTCTACTGTTGATGCAAAGAGAAGTGCTTATTTTTTGTTCTTTGTACTAAACGTTATGCATGGCCTAAGACATGTTTGCGTGTTGTGGTTTTTAATACAACTGTGAATTCGACAGAAAGGCAGGAAAACTGAATAAAAATGCGACTGAAGAGAAATTCTTGATTATATTTTTAAGAGACATTGAAAACAGCGTAAATATAAATGAAAATTATGAAAATGGATACGGACTGCACAGTATGAAAAGTGTCGATACAAAAAATATGATGGTTATAGGATAATTTATTGTAAACAGTAAACAAAATTTAAGTGAGTAAAGGTATGACTGAACTTATTAGCAATTTATTTGTTTCATGTTAAAATTGTTTTAAGCGAAAATGAATATGCTATAATGGACAATTCATTTGATAAAAATGTATATTTATTAGCTTCGTTTTTTTTATACATAATAACTAATAGATAAATGAATAAAATGTTTCTGTGTATCGATAGAATAAATAATGTTTTGATATGTTGTGCGAAAAACCAAACAATATTTTTTACTATCAATATGGAAATAGTGACTTTGTTGTTGCATTCATACTCGTATTGAAAAAAATTGAGCTTGTAAGTGAACTTGTGAGATTCGTAAAAGTTGTATGTGTTCGTATGATAAAAAAAAAAAAAATGAATTCGTTATATACTGAACAAACGTAGGTTTATAAATTGTATATCGTTAACATGTTTTTTTAATTCAAGGTTAAAAAACAAGTAAAGTAACGAATAAAACGCTAATTACTTTTGTACTATTGCAATTAGCTATAAAAATATGCATAATAACAATTCTGCTAATAGTTTACGATTGTCACTGGAGTCCGATTACATTTCTTTGCTTGATAAATGCACAGCTAATGTGCGTTTTCCGTTTTAGATCAACCTCCTAACTTTATTCTTAAAGTTGCTACTTGTCAATTTTTTTTTTTTTTTTCCAAAAAACCGTATTGCATAAAATTTATGTAAAATAAAGTGGTAAATGGTAGCATACCGTATGATTTTTGTGCACTATTCGGCGCTTACCATATAATCTGAATGATGAGAGTACAGATCTGCAATGTATCTAGTGCGATTCCATGAGATGTAAACTTGAATGGGTAGTATCAAAAAGGATTACATGATTATGTGCTGTTACTGTCAATTTGTCAATTTGGTGCGTGCATTGCCTAAGCTCGAGTTTAAACTTTGGTCAATTTAAAAAGTTTATAGAAGTTTGTGAGGAATTTTTTTTTTTTTTTTTTTTTAATTAAAATTTAAGTTTCTTTATTATTCTGTGATCGGAGATTACTGTGAATATAATATTCTGATTCCAAGATGACAATAAAAAAAAAATAACAAACATTTGTTTCATCAGAGAGTGGAATACTTACAAAGTGAATGTATAAAAATTGCAGTTAATTAAAAAAAATCAAAGCAGCGCATTTGCACGTCGTCGAGTTGTTGTATTCATTGTATTACTTATGTGTATCATAGGAAACAAACATAAATATATGTATATTAAAAAAACAGAAAAAACAACAAATAAACTAACGTGTGATCTGCCACACTTCACAATCATTGTACGATTTATATTAGATGTATTTAAATGGGAAGGGAATTCGGAAAAGCAAAACAAAATTAATAGAACTGGTACCAGGTCTTCTAAATTCGCGAAAATTGTGATTATAAAATATAATAATTGTAACGATAATGATAATATTAATGAGCGGGATAAGTATAATACTTGTGGTACGTAAAAGAGACTTTCGACTGGATGGATGTGTAGGTGCAAGATCGATTCTTTCGAGAGACGATTTTGACGAGTCAAATGAATCTAGTAACGATTTTAGAAGCACCTTGTACGACTTGAGACGAAATCTTTCATTAAAATTTAACTATAACAAAAAAACCAAAAATTTTGAATTTTGAAATAGTCTTTTTTGTTGTGTAAATGATGATGTGGGACGAGAAAAAAATAAAATTGATGGAGGCTAAAAATACTAACAAAACATGAAAATTACTTAAGGCCATCGATATAAGAACCAAACGGCGCAGGTAACTGTATGTACTGTATAGTTTTATTTTTTCTGTTCAGAATCACTTGCTTCATCTAATAATCCGAAATGACATACGATCACCAATGATGTAGAAATCGTTGGACAATTAAATTTTTTAAAGCACTTAAAGTATGGGTCTATTAAATTTGTTAAAAAACAGAAAAAAAAATGAGATTAGCTTTCATTTTACTTTAAAATAAAATACTAGACGATGGACTACACTAATTTGTACTGCTCCCAAATTTTTCTAAAAGTTATTTAACTAGCTGAAATCTGTGCTATGCAAGGAGGGCTCGCCTTGTAAAAATTTTAAAAAAAGAAAAAAAAAAAAATAGTGCACGTGAAAAAGAGCGAAAGCGAGGAGTGTGATATTGAATATATATATATTGAGAGAAACAAAATTTGCGAATATAATAGAGTTAAAGGAGAGATTACGTATTATATATATAAGTATATATAATATTTACTATTATATATATAGAAAAACGAATACCAAAATCGTGTTGTCCTTGTAGACATATTTAGTAATAAATCGAAATATAATTCGGTGTATAGTGTCTTGAATTTTTTCTTACAACACCCTTACAATAAAGCTTGATCATAATTATTTTCTTACTTCCTAGCAACTGATGAAGACCCGAAATCATGACAATACATGTTTAGTTCACCTTACGCTTATGATGGAACGTTAACTATTCTTAAAATGTTTACAGAGCATGAGTATACGTTGTACATGTTAAATTTTTTACGGGAGTACATTTGCTTAACAGATTTTTTTTTATTTTTAATAAAAAAATTTGTTTTTTCAGTAAATTTTTTGCTTATCATTGTAACCGAAACAATGTAAAAAAAAAATTATCTTACTTATCATCCGTTATATGTCGAAAAAGTTTATTTATTATTAATTTTTTTTTTTTTCAAGTACATTTCTCTTGTCTCCTGTACTTTGAGACCTTTGACCGACACCCTGAATCTCTACTGTTGATGCAAAGAGAAGTGCTTATTTTTTGTTCTTTGTACTAAACGTTATGCATGGCCTAAGACATGTTTGCGTGTTGTGGTTTTTAATACAACTGTGAATTCGACAGAAAGGCAGGAAAACTGAATAAAAATGCGACTGAAGAGAAATTCTTGATTATATTTTTAAGAGACATTGAAAACAGCGTAAATATAAATGAAAATTATGAAAATGGATACGGACTGCACAGTATGAAAAGTGTCGATACAAAAAATATGATGGTTATAGGATAATTTATTGTAAACAGTAAACAAAATTTAAGTGAGTAAAGGTATGACTGAACTTATTAGCAATTTATTTGTTTCATGTTAAAATTGTTTTAAGCGAAAATGAATATGCTATAATGGACAATTCATTTGATAAAAATGTATATTTATTAGCTTCGTTTTTTTTATACATAATAACTAATAGATAAATGAATAAAATGTTTCTGTGTATCGATAGAATAAATAATGTTTTGATATGTTGTGCGAAAAACCAAACAATATTTTTTACTATCAATATGGAAATAGTGACTTTGTTGTTGCATTCATACTCGTATTGAAAAAAATTGAGCTTGTAAGTGAACTTGTGAGATTCGTAAAAGTTGTATGTGTTCGTATGATAAAAAAAAAAAAAATGAATTCGTTATATACTGAACAAACGTAGGTTTATAAATTGTATATCGTTAACATGTTTTTTTAATTCAAGGTTAAAAAACAAGTAAAGTAACGAATAAAACGCTAATTACTTTTGTACTATTGCAATTAGCTATAAAAATATGCATAATAACAATTCTGCTAATAGTTTACGATTGTCACTGGAGTCCGATTACATTTCTTTGCTTGATAAATGCACAGCTAATGTGCGTTTTCCGTTTTAGATCAACCTCCTAACTTTATTCTTAAAGTTGCTACTTATCAATTTTTTT